TAAGTCCATATCAATTGAAAAAATCGATTTCAGCATCCGATGCTTATCGACTGGTTCTTGTCAAGCAACTTCAAATGTTTGAAATACGTTTATAAGAAAAATATTTTTCTTATTTACGTGTCTCTATTTTCGAACCTTTGATACTCGGTGGTCATATATGCAGGACGAGATAAAGTCGAGATTCGAATATATATGTCGTAGGACAGATTTAAATCCAGTTCAGTTTTAAATCGAACTAGGATAGATTGAAATTTTAATTTATCCTAGTTTAGATTAAAATTCTGAAGTCAACTAGTTGATTTCGAAATGCATTTTAATGTGAACTAGTTGACTTCAAGATTTTGATCTGAACTAGGATAAATTAAAATATTTTAAACTGAACTAGGACAGCTTGAAATATTTTGATCTAAACCAGGACAGATTACAATATTTTGATTTGAACTAGTTCGGATTGAAATATAGACACTTGGATGGACGGTTGATGAGGGTGCGGGTAAGGATGAGCGCGAGGACGCGGATAACAGTTCCATCTTCACTCATTCTCATTCACCATACACTCTCGTCCTCATCCCGACACGTATCTTCAACCAGTCAGCCACGAATAATTTGGCTAAAAATTTTAATGTATCCTAGTTCAGATCAAAATTTTGAAGTTAACTAGTTGGGATTAAAATGTATTTCGAAATCAACTAGTTGACTTCGAAATTTTAATCTAAACTAGGAATAATTAAAATTTCAATCTGTCCTAGTTCGATTTAAAACTGAACTGGATTTTTATTTGACCTGCGACATATATATATATATTTACGATTACTCAATATATGTCAAAATACTAAACTAAGCGTAATTTAGCGTTCTAAGATGAAAGTTATGTTTTATGAAGGGATGAAAAATACTCGAACTACATTTTATAGCACTTTTTATTCAATTAATTTCCGACGGTTCAAGTACAACTTTCAAATACATTCTACTGGTACAATTCATGTAAAAAAACGACAAAAGATTCGATTTTGATCGGTTTTAATCTTATCTATCGGCGTATTAGCTTACGCGAGTACGCATGAATTGGTGCCTCATGTGGCAGTGTATGAAAGATAGGGCTAGTACTATACTTGCCATTTATTGGCGCAAAATGTTAGAAAGAAGAAACAAAAGTTGGAGAAAAACGCATTTTATAGTCATAGCAATTAAAATCGATTGAAAATTAAATAATCGATTATAAATAATTAAAAATCATTAAAATCTGATTAAAATCACATTTCTTGTTGTTTGTTTACATGGAAGGTTTCAAGTGATTCTAATGGCTTGGGTTGGATTTTCCAATATCTAACTTTGAATGAAATTATGACAAAATTTAAACGACTTCAAGATTGCAAATAATTGCAGATTTTCATAACACATAGAGTGACCACAATGGTGCTTTCGATAGAGCTATTCTTGTGGAGTATTAGACATCTATTCGATTTATGAAAAATCGAAAGTAAGAACTTCATGAATTGTTCACATAGAGTCGTCAGCAACTCAATGAAACCTATGCTCGCGAATAACAGATCGAATTGTGCCAAATGTGTCAACGATAAGTTCTTATAGGATGGCCGAAAAGTTGAAACTTCGAGGGTTTCTGAATGCTAAAAATTACATTGATGATTCCAGAAGATGGAACCAATGAGAATGAAGATACAACAAATTTATATTCGAAACAATATTCAAGATCTTGTCAAAGTTCTTTCATGCAAAAAAGTTGAACTGAGATTGATCGAGAAAGAATCGAGGTTTTTCGATAATGAACTCTCGCTCAGTTGTCGTTCGATTCTTACTTTTGAGAATATTGGAGATTGCCATTTTCTTCTACTTTGCAATGGAATATGGCTTGTAATACATTCATTCGAATTCGTCATCGATTCTAAATTATTAAAGCTAATTCTCAAACCATAAGTCATCATATTGTTTCTTATTTATGATACACCGATCATAGATGAGTATCTGCTTTCAGGTTGACGATCGTCGATTATTAACTACAAATAAAATTTTTATATTGTTTTCCAATACTATCAAACAAAAAAGAAAAGACATTAACTGAGAGAATAACTTTTCTATCAGTTCCGATTGACTAATGGTGGTTGTGTTGAAAAAGCAAATATTTGAAATTCAATCGCATTTGATAATTGCCATCAAGAATGACAATGTTTATTTGCACTATGAGCAATAAAATATCATTATGTTAAAGACATTCGATGAAATTGAAGATAGAGGCGAGTACAGGTCAGAATGAAAACTTCGTTATACTTGTTTTCATGACTCGTTTGCATTTAACATATCGATGTAGTATCGTACAATGTCGCTATATTCACTCTCTTGGAATCATTGTATTAAAAAAATGATTACTCGTGATCATACCAGTTTTGAACGAGATAACTACATCATAAAACATAACATCATTATATCGACAGTATTACTAGCTCAAGTGATTGCACTAATGATAGAATAGATTAAAAGAGATAATGAATATCACCAACTGAGATGTTCCGTTACTCATCATGATTGGCGTACTTTAAGGTATTATATTTTGAATTTTTCGAATGAAATAGATCATGTTTTTTGTCTTGTCATGTATTCGTTTTTATTTAGATATTGAAAGAATACCAATGAATTGGACATAGTATTGATATGTAGAATTTTATTATCAAATCTATTCGAATAAAAATAGATCAGACAGATCATCATCTTAAATTGTAACATCATCAATAATTATATTAATAAAACCATTTCATACTGAAAATATTCCTTCACTGAAATTAACATCCATCAATTAAACCTTTTGATAGCTGAATGAAACACGTGACATTTATTGAAAATTCATCTATTCCATTAGACATCAATCTACATGATCATGATTCACAACTTCTCGATTCAACTATCTATTCTTCACAATTGATCTAATGGCATTAGACGACTACCATCTATTTCTATTTTAGTTCACATGCAACAAACCGATACGATTCGATTCTCATTCATTTAGCAGATGAATGAACTTTCATCCATATCAACGCGAAGCTACGCCGATATTACTTATATTTACATATAATATCAAAGCAGATAAGAATAAAATGCTTCGATCGTCCCTTTTCGTACTAATATTTCATAATTGATTCTATATAGTGTTAAAATGATATTTTATTTTAGAAATGAATCATCAATAATGAATTCTATAAGTAAATTTAATGTTTTGCAAAATAGTCAATGACAAGCGATCCATCTAAGTGTAATTTCAAATTCTTGACAAATTCTTTGTGATCATCATGATTACTGTATGTATCAAGATCTTCTTGATTAGCAAAAGTAAGACAAAAAAAATGTGTATATCCTTGATTGCGATTATCTTTTCCCGTATGTGTACCCCATTCGAATTGCTTGACTTGATTAATTTTGACTGTAGCCAATGTTCGAAATTCTTGTTCGAGTCGAGATATATCTTCTGGTTTGGTATTCTCTTTGAATTTGATCAATACAACGTGACGTAACATTTCTTGGTTAGTCGATGCCATTCGAACGAGTGTTTGTTTAGATGTGTACCCTTACAGCGTTTGTTGACGATAATCGGAAAAAAAAGAAGGAAAGAAAGACAAAACGCAATTGCACTACATTAATAGTGTGGCATTACTCTCGTTTTCTTTTCCTATAGAACAAATATTGACGAATGCTGAAGGTTTCGGTAGTTCTCGCTAGTTAACTGTATATTTGGAAGAAGATAGATGGATATTAACAACTGAATATAAAAGAATAATTTCATTATTTGAATAGCTGCTTCGTTTGTCTGATAAATTCTGTACACTTTGTTTTATACTAATATTAATTAAATAACTTTTTCCAATTGATATAAAAACATGTCAAAAGATTCTAATAAAACATGTTTACATCTATAATTATTCTAAGTAGACGTCCTATACGATTGAGAAATTCTCAAAAACTATCATGCTCATTTCCAGAAAAGATTCTATCTTAGGTTTTATGTAGAATTTGACGTGTTTGTGGAGATTTCTTTCCAAAAAAAAAATAACATTTACTTTAGGAGCAAGATTGAGAATTTCAAAAGATTAATTAAGCCATTTGCTTGTTTTATCTCGTAAAACTGACTATCATATATCTTGTCATGAAGATTAACTCAAGTAGATTGCTTATTAATTTTTCTTCAAAAAACAACTAATCTGATTCTATCTTGAAACCAGTATTGACATGAGTTTTGACACTTATGAAACAGTTGTTTTAGGACATTTTTCCATTTTTATATCCAACGACGATTTTAATTGCAGCAAAAATCCTATTGAAATCTAATCAAATAATATATTGTTATATGGTAACAAACTATAATCTGCATACTAAGGTTTTACTATGACACTTTAAGAACTTCATGACTAGAAGTCATTACTTGTACAATTAGGTCAATCAAATTTTTGCATACTAACATGCATGTATTTTAAAAAAGCATGTTATAAATTTGAGTGAAATGCTAATACTCAAGTCATTATAATAATATTATGCTTATTGTCGTGAGCTACAATAATAAATTAAAAATAAGATTATCATTAATCTGGAGGAAAGCGATTGCTTTTAACAAAAGAAAATTTTCTTTCACATATTAGACGTCATTTTGCATTTTTTCGATACAAGTCAGGTTGGAATAGATGGTAAATTCATTGTTTGAAATGTTCAAAGAATATTACCATGATGACAACATTTTTTCTGCATCATTCAGTATTCAGAGCAGATCTAAATGCCAAAAAATAAATAGCTAGTGAAAACATCATAGATTAAATTTTAAAACATCTATTTTTATTTTATTTTCTCTTAAGAGCAGCTACATTCAACAACACGCATATTATTCTGCAGTTTAACGCTTAAATTTGGTCCATCATAGTATAAAAGTATCATTGGTAAAAAAACGTTTTAGTTTTGCAACAAAATGTTGGTATTTTTTTCGGATAGATTGGATTGAGTAACTTTTACATAGTAAAACAAGAAGACTTTTTTGCATTTGCATGACATATACCAGAACAAATCTTCATTTCATATGCACTTGGTTCAATAATCCATGACGTCCATTCAAGTTCGGCAAATGATGTATGTAATGGAAGAACTTGACAAGATGTTGAACGTTTTGAATATTTTATTAATTGATTATCATCAAAGAATGATGATAAATCCCGACGAATTATTACATGTATTAATAATGGTTGTCGAAAATATAATGTAGAAAAAAACCACATGAATAGTTGAAAATTTTCTTATTGTTTAATGAATAAAACAAATTCAACAGGAATTAGGTTTTCAAGTGATCAAATATATTGAAAATGATAATTTGAATAACTATTTTGATTAGAAAGAATAAGCATAGAGTCTAAATTGTCGAATAACGATAAACTGAAATTTGAAACATTTCATTGACATTTTGTTCTTTTTCGAATATTTATTTGATCATATATGGAACGTATTAATGAATACCTTGTTATCGATGGTGAAACAGGTTGATTTGATGATATATTTAAAAAGACTTAAAATAAAGATAATTGCTTTCTATTTTCTGAGAACAATATTGCAGTTGACGTAACTTGCAAGAAAAGTCATATTTAAGAATTAGACTGTAATACATAATTCAGAAGACAACAACAAAGATTGTTAATACACTTAGATTACTGTATATTATTAGAGAATTTCTTTTCCTTACGTAAATCGTTAAGGGAGACAAAATTACATTCTCAAATGAGATTCGAGGATAAAAAAAACGAAAACATCTTCCTTATAGAATGCAAGTGTGAATATCGCTGTAGTTTACTAGCAAAACCGGATCCATGCACATCCACACTTTTGTCTCTGTATAGAATTTCAAGTTCAAATTCGAACATAAATTTTTCTGATGTTACCAAGGAGGACCACGCTATTTATTTAAAACTATCGAAAAAGTCAAGTATTTTGATAGCAATAAGGCAAGGATTTGAACTGTTTCCAAGTTATACATAGTTTATTTGTTTATATATAATGTACGTAGACTCGACTCAAAAGAAACTTATCATTTGGAAGGCTTTTCTCGTAAGAAAATCTGAAGATTGAAATGAAATCAAGCACTTATATGGTGTATTGATTTAATAATAAGTCGTGAAGATTTATAACGAATCGTTTATATAGCATCAAATAGTAATGATGAAGTTGAACAACTTCCTCAAATATTTATGAATATATAGAATCGATAAGAAAACACGTCAAAGGAGAGCAAACAGCACCTACACCACTGTTATATGAATATAAAAATTAATTAATGTCTTTCAAAACTTATCTTTTTTGAAAATTAACATAAATTCTGGTATTTTTTTCGATGTCATACAGAAAAAATTAGGATGAGAATACATTCGATCAACTTCTACTTTAATTGACATGTATCATTTATTACTAATGATAAAAGGTCAGAAAGTTAAAAAGTTTTAAAAAACTAAATTTTTAATAATCATTCAATTCCATAATGTAAATATTTCACAAGTTACTAATCAAAAATTAGGTTCGCAATTGTCCTAATTTAATACTTTCAAGTTAACGATGATGATGATTGTCGATTTATAAAAAGAAATATACTAAAATTATTTACTAAAAACGTTACTATGCATTCTGTTAAAAGAAGAAATAATTTCAATTTTGATGAAGATACTGTTGTTGTTGTCGTTGTATATTCGATAAGTGTCATCGTTTTATTGTCTTGCTTTTTCTCTCTCGATTTATTTAACATTCCATAGAATGAATTAATTGCATTTGACTTATTATTATATACTTCAATGAATTGGAAAAGAAGATGTATCGTCATTCTCTGTAATCAATAATATAATTATTCAAGTTGTCGTAAGTAATTGAATGAAAAACTTCTGAGAAATATGTCTGATTCTTCATTGTTATAAAGCAATTGCCGTGAGAGAGAAAGAAACATATGTTCATATTTTTATCTAATGAAGACGACATTAATAATGCATTTTAAATTAATCGATACGCAAAAGAATACTCATGATGACAGTTAGACAAAAATTTGATTTCGTTTGTAAAAGAAAAAGAAAACAATTGTGTCAGTATTTTTCTAAAGTTAATCGAGTTGAAATAAAGTCATTTGTATTGACTTAGGTTTTGGATCCAATTTCGTTTTATATAACTCATATTTTTTTCTTCTCTCACAAATACATGTGTTACTCTTATTTTTCTACTTAATCTTTTTATTTATTTTTGGATTGTCATATTTCAAAATATTGCAAAGAATAAAGAATGACATAAAAAAAAAGAAATCAGCAGATTAAATTCCATGGATCTGTATTGAAATAAATATGCATCGTTGTAAAACCACCAACTTGATGAAATTTGACTGGCATACATGTTGGAACAGGTTTTAAGAATGACTGAAAATTTAAATGATATAAATCGATATATTTAAATTGAATAAAAAAAGCTTCTTTAAACTTACAGAAATAGCTGATAATGGGGGGAATTCAGTTCGTTTTGTAAAATCATATTTACCAAATAAAGCCCAACCAAATCCTGTTAATTTACCTTTGTTGTACAGAAGAAAACTAGGAAAGTATGTTTCGCAATCTGAATCAAGTCGATTGTCATACCAGTAATGAACACCTAAATAATTTGATATAAATTTTTTTTTTGACTTTTATATGATATAAATATTTTACCCATCGATGGAAAACATGCACCTTTAACCCATTTTGTTTTGTCTGCGTCAGTTTGATTTATTGGTATAAGAGTTGAATCACTAATTGGATTAATACCATTTTGTAACCAAAGTCCTGTTCCTACGATATGTCTATCACGATAATTTGTATTTTCATCTGATGTACATATTGTCTTTGGATCAATAAAATATGCTGTTAGAATATAAACATCAACACCAAGAATTGTATCTCGATTAAACATTTTCTGTTGAGAATATTTGTAATACGTATCATTAATCATCGAAGCTGGAATCTTTTTTATATGAGAAAAAAAACATTTTCTCTACATAAATCAAATGAAAATTTCATTAACTTACACCCATTTGTATGCCAGCAATAAAACCTTTACTGTCATAAATTAAAATTACAGCAAAATCTCTATCTTTTATAAAACGTTGTCCAATAAATTTTCCTACAAATATTATTTTTAATTAGAAAACAATACACTAAAGTAAATAAATGAATTTACCTTGACATGAATTTGAAATCTGTTCGAATCCGTCTTTTTTTGCATCTTCAATCGTTAATGGTTGTTTAACATAATAATGATGACTAAGTGGGTTCGGACCCCAAGTAGTGCTTAAAGTTTTCCATTCAGGTCCAGAGTCACTTCCAAATAAAAATCCACATGCTTTTCAATGAAAAACACATATTATTTGATAGTTCATAGTCATTTTATCATGATATATTTCCTACTCCAAGGTAATAATTACTTACCTGCATTGATGCATAAAAACAATATTCCAAAAGTCGATTTCATTATGATATTGCAATATTGTTACTAAATCATCGCTCCCTTTTATATGTTTCATATTCCTGCTATCAGAAATTGACACCTGTAACAATTAATTTTTAAGCCCAATAATTTCTTTTTTAAGTCAAGAGATAACTTTTCTCTCTGACTAAATATATATTTTTAATGATTCCATCAATCCGTATAAAAAAAAAAGAATGAAAGAAGATACATGTAGAACGTTATAAGAAGCGGACACATACATAATCATCTATGTAGTTTGATCCAAGGACATCAAGAAGACAAAAAAAAAGTCGAGAAAAAAAAAATTTATGCATGTATACAGAAGAGAAAGAAAAAACCAATGTTTGATCAAATTTACAAAAAACGGCTTGATGATGAATGAACAAAAGATAATAATTGAGAACATATAAAGAGAAAAAAATATATATTTATAAAGAAGCCCATTTTTTGTTTTAAAGTTTCCTTTTTTTTTTCTATTGCAAACTGACTGTAATATAAGGGCAAAAATAAACATGCACATCTTCCCAATGGCACATGGATAGATAACGGAATAAGAGACAAAAAGAAAAAAAAAAGAAAGAAATCATCACACAAGAGTGGCAGAATTTCCATGATTATTATTAAGCCAACCAAGTACATCATCAGAAAATTCTTCAGCAACATGTAAACTTCCAGAATTAGGTCTAATCAAATAAACAACAAATACATTCAATAGTTTAGATCAAATAAAATAACAATATTGAGAAATAAGATTTCTTACCCTGATGATTGTGAACTCGATGATTGTGAACTATGTGGACGAAAAAGTAATGCTGATGATTGATTTTGATTATTCGTATTTAAACGACTTGTTGATACTTGTGATGTTGGTACCATTGAACTTGATTGTGTACGATTATATGATTGAGATTGATATCTTGTTTGAGATGGATTCATATGTTCTAAACGTCGTACAAGTAATGGCGATGTATCATATCGTTGCATTGATTGTGGTTGTTGTTGAGGTGGTACTGGTGGTGGTTTATTTGTATATGTTCCATTATAGAAATTTTCAGCAACAAGACCACGAATATGTGTATGTGGATGTGTTGATACATCTTTCGACCCTGATATTGTATAATAACTATCTTTTGGTGTTGCTATTGTTGTTGATGATGATAATGATGAATCAAAATGTGGTTGAAAGACTGATGGTGGTGGACGACGAGAACGATTTGATGATGATGTTACTGGTAATGGAGGTGGTGTTGAATCGATATGATCAAATGCTTGTTGTTGTTGTTGAAGTACATTACCAACATTAACAACAGTTGATGTTGTATTTGTTTGTGTTGGTAATGTTGGTGTTAAATGATAAAAATCATGTGCTTGATTATCATTTTTATTAATACGATCATTTTCATCATTAATAATTGTACCATGTAATGCTGGTTGGGATACTTTACTATGTTTATTACGTTCAAGACTGCCATATATGTCTGTATGACTTGATTTCATGTGAGTTTTTGATATTGTTGAATTAATTGATGAATTATGTGGTACACCACGTATATGTCGTCTGTCAAGACTACGCATATGTGATAGTTGTTGTTGAGTTTGTTCATCAGGCATTGCATTACTTGTTGATGTTGTTTTTTGTGCTTGACGTAAGTTTGGTTGCTGTTTACGATCACGGATTCGATTACGAGATGCATTATTTGAAGAATTCATTGGAGGAGGCTGAAGAATATATGCTGTATGTTGTTGTTGTTGTTGTTGT